AACCCTATCGGATTTATATCAAGAGTAGTAGGGCTCTTGAAATTCTTCTGCCTCCAGTCAACATTTGTTTCCGTAACGTTTTTTCAACAATGAAGCCTAATGAGAACTGATAAAAGCTTGATTCAGGAAGAAATTATTCGCTTAATATGGATCAACAAACTCCCCGGGTCGTGTCTTTGTGGTTCACTCCTTATCTTTGTTCCAAAATCATTCATCAGCAATAAATCTTTAAAGGTGAGAACAATCAACTTTCAAACCATTGAATCAAGTTCCAATACAAAATGGACAATTGTATAACTAAAAAAAGAAAAGTGAAAAAAATGTGTCGTGCTTCTGGAGTATATACATTACTCCAACTGATGTTACTGTTGAATGTATGTCGTTGTATTTAGCGAATCAGAATCATCGATTATTACTTTTTATTAAATTAATTTTTGAGTTTGGGTTTGAGTTTTGAGAATTGAGTTTTGAGTCTTATTCATTAGAGGTTATGGCATAGTGCTAAGTTTCATAGTAGAGTTTGTTAATCTAGTGCACGTGCTATTGTACGTCTGGTATACATTAATCTTACTATATGCCTAGTGAGTTTTTCTTTTATACCATGAACAACCAGAGTTTATGGCATGATACTATACCATAATCTCTAATGAGTCAACATGGGTCTCTAATTCCCTAATTCAAACCGTAAGATCACTAACAAAAAAATATTAACCGGTGATTCTGATTCCATGAAGTATATCAAAGTACATCTAATAGCTAAGAATGCTAGTGTATATTATACGGCAGGCATACGCTAACCCAAATAATGGTAAAAGATACAATAAACCTTACGTTTGATATACAACTGTACGTTCACACTTATATTAGATGTTCTTCAATGTATTTCAATGAATCAGAACTGTCATTTATTATTTTAGATTAAATGAATCTTATGGTTTATGTTGAATAATTAAATACAGAGATTCACCTCTTAGAGGTTAAGGTAAGTATCATCTCCAAACTCCGGTTAATTCATGGTTTAGATAGCAAAACTCGATGAGCGTACGATAAGGTAGCATATGCTAACATGAACCATTGAAAATAGTAAACAAACATATTCTTATGTTGTTATCATGGTTCCTTCTAGCAATAGCGTAGGTATTATAGACAATTCTTTAATCCGCTCTATAAACTAAAAATCTCAATATCACAACTGAACGTTCCAAACGCATCCAGCGGGAATCAAACCCACGAATTTGCCCATTTAGCCTTTATTAGGTTGGGCGCTTTAATGTAAAAAATTAACCGATAGTCTTAATTCATCGAAATATATCAAAATATATATAATATGTGTAAATATTGCTATATATTATAGGTTAGGCTCATGCTAGCCTTTGTCATATATATTAAAAAAAGTAAACAAACATATAAGGTTGTTATCTTGTTTTCTTTTGGCAATAGGGAAGGTGTCATAGTCAATTCTTTTGTCTCTAATTCTCTGAATCCAAATTATAAGATTACTTTAATTATAAATATTAACTACTGATTCTGATTGATTTAAGTATATCTAATAAATTGGAACACTTATATATATTATACGACATAAAGTTTGTCATATATTTAAAAAACCAATATATTATTTGGTGGTTATCTTATTTATTTTTTGACAATAATCAAGATGTCATACACAATTCATTAGTCCTACTATAGTCCTAAAATGCAAATCCTCTTATTGGCCTTGATTTGCTGCTATTTATTTCTACAAAACATTTTCGAATTGCCACCAGCCTACTCACTCATCAAAATAAAATGAGAATAAACACTTCCATATAAAAAATCTTAGGGATCACAGGCCGAACAAAAAATTTAGGCAACCGTAACTAGTCTTTAACTTTATATATATTAACAATTTGGGTGTGCCTACGGTGACATGCATGTCACGGTGACTTGCACTTTCCGGTCGACCTCAGTTAGGATTAGGTCGACCTCATTTAGAATTCGGTCGACCTCATATAGGATCTAGTCCACCTCATTTAGGATTCGGTCGACCTCATATAGGATCAGGTCGACCTAATCTGTTGCTTCAGTGTAAAAACAGTTCATGGTGCCTACTTTGAATATTCATATCATAAAATTGGCTAGATGGAAATTGAAGACTAATGACTTGTTTTGAAGCTGGAGTGTCCCTCTACATATTGAAGTGATTGAGAGATCGATAGGAAGTCCAGAAGACCATTTTTGAACCTCATCAAAAGTCTGGAAACGTGTTTGTGAAGCCTATTTTGGAGCTCAATTCGAAAAGCATGAATGCGAGTCGAGTCCAGGAGCCTCTACCACGTTAAATTAGGTATGTTTTTATACAAATTCAAGGCATTGGATGAAAGATTGGATATCTGTAAGGCTTCAAACAAAAGGGTCGAAGTTGCTACGAAGGCTGTTTTTCTGGCAGACTTCGAGCACAAGCAAGCTACCAGAAAAACAGCCTTCGTAGCAACTTCGAGCCTTTTGTTTGAAGCCTTGAAGATATTCAATATTTCATCCAATGCCTTGCCTTTGTATAAAAAAATACGTAATTTAATGTGGTAGAGGCCTCTTGACTTGACTCGCATCCATACTTCTCAAATTGAGCTCCAAAGTAGGCTTGACAAACACATTGCCAGACTTAAGCCATTTTCAGGCAGTTTCCCAGTTTTGCATAGCCTTTTGGTCAGGTTCAAAAATGGTCTTCTGGACTTTCTATTGAACTCCCAAGTACTTAAATGTGTAGAGGGACACTTCAGCTTCAAAACAAGCCTTTAATCTCCCATTTCCATCTAGCCAATTGTAAGATATGAATCTCCAAAGTAGACACCATGAAACTGTTTTTACACTGAAACAACAGATTAGGTCGACCTAATCCTATATAATCCTATATGAGGTCGACCGAAAAGCGCATGTCACCGTGACATGCATGTCACCGTAACAAAATCCTAAATTATAAGTAGTTTGTGTGTGACAATTTCTGAGCAGAATTATATGACCTTAATATAGGGACTAGGAATCTTCCACGATTGACACCTCCATATAATTGAAAAGAGTTAGTCCAACTTTCGTAATCTTAATTATGGGCATGTAGCTTATAATTATTTGTCTACTTTCAAAAACACTAAATCGATCGTATTCTATTGTTGAAGAAGCTTATAGTTATTTATGTTCATTGATTATGACTTTACTATCATGACTTATGCGACTATGAGGGCTACTAGGTCTTCATTTTCTTGTATCTAAAAATATTATTCAATTGTAGGGACCTATGTAGACTTCGTTATGGACATATTATCATGTTTATTGTTAGATTTTGACTATTGTATTGATTCGTATAAAGAAATGACTAACCCCAACCAAAACAAAAACTTTGAAATGTTCTACAAAGACAGCAAATGAAAAAAGACAGCAAATGAAAAAGGACACGTGAATAAAGAGCCATTTTACAATGTTTTAATGTTTTAAAGTATAGGTGATTTAGTTTTTTATTTTTATAGTATAACTTGAAGTTGAAGTTGTACATTTAATATTGTGGTACAACTTCAGGTTGTACTCATACTTTTTTTTGTATAATTCTCTTTATGGTACAAATTAAAGTTGTATATTTATGTTATGATACAATTTAAAGTTGTATCACAACATAAAGGTCAAAATTCTCTTATGATACAACTTCAATTTGTACTTTTAATGTTACGGTACAACTTAAAGTTATATTTTAAAGCACCAATACTTTCAAACGTAATAGAAGTGCTCCGTGAATTAATTTGGACCGGTCTAGCTACTAGAGATCGTCTTTAGTTTGCACTTCTCTCTTTGTTTTGCTAGCTAGTTCAAGATTTATATATTCGTGATATAACGGTAATGATGCAGATAAATCTCAAATGCACATGTTACTTATTGGCTTGGAGGAATTTTACAATGCTATATAGCAATATTGGTGCTATAGGTTTTTGCCTTTATGATACAACTTGAAATTGTACCTTTAATGTGATGGTACAACTTCAAATTGTACCTATACTTTTTGTACAAATTCTTTTATGGTACAACTTGAACTTGTACCTTTATGTGATGGTACAACTTCACAACGTGAAGTTGTACCATAACATGATTGTACAAATTGTTTTATGGTACAACCTGAACTTATATATTTAACGTTATGGTACAACTTTAAATTGTACATTAAAGCATCAATACTTTATAGCATATTAAAAGTGCTCATTGGTTATTCATTGTCATAATAAAAAGTTTCAGTTCCATTCACTATTCAGTACTCGTTATAATCTCTTTAAACACTAAAATAATTCGAACTACTTTCAGCATAAGAACAAGGTCAAAGGCATGATTTTTTTTTTTTTTTGTCGGCAGTACATTGCTTAAGCAGTAAAATACTTGAACAAAGATTTTCAAGAAACTAATTAATTAAGGTGGGGGATAAGATGCCCTAATAAGCTAATCTTATGTAGCGAAATTATGAGCATTTGGTTCGGTCAATGAGAAAAATCGCCCGTTAAAGATTAATGGGGAAAAGATAAAATGCTCTCTAAGAAATATGGATGTTGATGTCATGCTGATGTGGACGGGTTACTTATGGTTACTCACCATAATGTTACTGTACTGACATGATCTGCTCCCCATTAATAGAGATATGTACAGGTTTTAGTAGTAATACATTCTAGAAAAACACGTTACTTACGATAGTGGTTATTTTTCGGCAAAATGCATATGTATAGCCAAAACTTTCACATTTGTGACAATACTAGCCACTTTTGGAGAAATACGCAAAATAGCTACAATTTGAATGATTGCATGGCAAATCTAGCCACTTTCGTTACAAACTTTAACGGTGTTAGTGTCACCGTCAGTTATCTAAACGGAATGCTGACTAAGATGCCAACTCAGCGTCCACGCCAATGACAACTCAGCTATTGATGGGCATATAGATGACACGTGTCAATTTAATTAATATTTAAAGTGTTTTCATATGAAAAATGTCAAATATAAAAATAAAATATTTAATTATTTTTTTCTCCTCATGTTGTCTTCCCTTTCCTTTTCTTTCGCAACTTTGAGCGGATCGGTTCTTTCTGTTCTTCCCAAAAAAGTGAAGTTCCAGCACCTTCCATAACTTCCCAAACAAATATACAATGTTAATATCAGTCTCTAGCCATCAATCCCGTAAGAACATCATAAATCATAACAAAAAAGGAATCTCATCAAACACACCAGTGACCTCTTCTCCCGCATCCGCCAGTGAAACGAGATCCGTCGAACCAAATCACTCACACCAAATCACCCACCGCAGAAAAACACAGAATCAAGGACTCGCCGTGGATAGATAGAGTAGAGGAATTGGATTCGACAAAGAATCTACAGAGATAGGGGTTATGGTGACGTTGTACGGGCAACTACGATGCTCCTCTAGTAAGATCTAATTCTTAGTGGATGCTTGAATCCATCAGATCTGAAATTTTCTTATGGATTTGAAGAGAGGGGCGAGGGTAAGCGACGGTGATGGAAGGTCGGGAGGTGGGCGGTTATTGGATCCCCCCTGTCTTTCCAGCTGCTCGTCGTCCCCCGCCGCATGAAGCTCTTTGTTTTCACCATTCTCATCCTGACCTCCCTTCTCCTTCTCTTGAATCCATCGCCGGTGACTTAGACACCACCGCCAGGGCAACCTCGATCCCGATTGCAATAATTCACCCAAACTGAGGTTTCGTTTATGGGTTCTCTTCGTCAGGAGAGGTAGAATGAAACCTATGGATTTGATGACCATTCCTCCTCAATTGAGCAGCGGAAGGGTGGAATGGAGAAGGGAAGAAAGGGATGGGGGGGAGATGGAAATTAACCTAACTGAGACCGAGAATAAACTTGGAGAAAGGGAAAGGTTGGGTGGGTGGGTGCCAATCAGAGTGAATGTTTGCTCACAAAGAGAGATCAGAGATGGCCGAGGTGAAGAAGGAGAATCAAATCGTGGAGGAGGGGATGAGAAGGGGCTGAAAGTTGAGAGATGGAAAGTTGACAGAGAGATTTTATTTTTTCAAAAGTCAATTCACGTGGTAATGTTCCTGACGAAACGTCTCCATGTCAGCGTATTTGTTAGTCTAGTCAGGATGTTAGATGACACCATTAAAGAATTGGACGAAGTTGACTATTTTGTGCATTTCTCTAAAGTGGCTATTATTGGCAAAATAGTGAAAGTTATGGCTATACAAGTGTATTTTGCTTTATTTTTAACACAAAAATGCACGCTAAACCTATAATAACACCAATAGATAATACACTTGAAGCGTGGTTATTTGGAAATAAAGCAAAATACGCAAGAACCAAAAGCAAACTATTGGCGCTCTATTGGGTTCATTTCATCTGGAAATTTGTTCATTTTGGTTCATGTTGCCGACTGCTTATCTTGTTCTTGTGTCAATGCCCATTTCAGAAAGGAAATTAAATTAAAGGAACGCTTCTATGCACCACGAAAAGTCTACGTCCTCCATATTTTCCGCTCGTTCACATTCAGTCCATGGATCTCCTCCTGTTCACGACACTTTTCTTTTAAGCAGAGAAACAGTAGAGAGTAGACAGCTGTAAGTAGTGATGGGCGGGGCGGGTACCTCAATTCCCATGCCCCGCCCCATACTACTACGGATCGGGGCGGGTAAAATCCGCGCGGGTACGGGCGGGGCGGGTCGACCCACTCTTACATGATGTTCAAAAAAAATAAAAGTAAATTTTACTTTTTACAATAAAACGTTGGGAAAAACACTTTAAGAATGAAAAATATTGATAATAGAATGGATAACTGAGCCTAACAAGTTGAAAGATCGACTCTAACTAGTTGAAGAAAAATCAAAATAGGAGAAATATGTATAAATATTGTAAGAAATTGAGATAAAATGAGTCTAGAACTGGACGAGACGGGGCAGGACGGGTCGGAAGTAGATACCCATGCCCCGTCCCACGCTACTGCTGGTCGAGTAAAACCCGCCCCATCACAGGTCAGATCGGGTAACACCCGTGGGGCGGGTTGAAATTGCCATCGCTAGCGGTAAGTCTCAGTCATCTGCGTTAATGTATGTTAATTTCGGGTCCTCGGTTCTCCGTACCGATTTCCCGATCTGTATCTCCGTAAACCGGCAGTATTTACAGCCACTTGGCTGGCTGATAGGGACGGCGGCGGCTCCTTAATTAAGTATTGCTGCTTTTCTTACCGTGTCGGTTTTACATTAATAAATTAGTGATTACTTGAAGGTTTGTCTCTTCCCGAGAATTCTGGATAAATTAAATGATCATACCTACTACATCATGTCTTTATTTGCATTTTCATTTCTTGACGATTCCCTTTCATATCTTTAGCCACTCAGTTTTATTTCATACAACCGTCGGATCAAAATTAGATTCATCCAATGGTGAAGAAAGTCTTACTTAGAACATTGTATATCGTCAAAATTAGATTCATCCAATGTGTAGCTGGAGAGTGTTTACTCTCCCGTGGACTAATCCCGAATCTCGGGGATACCACGTATATCGTATGTCTTGTGCTTCGATCATCCATTTCGTTTGTCTAAACTCATTTCGTTAACAATAGCCAGCCCTAATAGGCAATCCTGCTTGAGGGTGTTGTACTCTGGTGAGGGGTTACAGGTATGTCCAGGAAAAAGGTTTCCTGATTTAAATTCTTATGTTGCAGACGTTCCTCATGTCAAAAATTCATTGATCATCTTAATTATTTTGCTCATAAAAAATGTTCAAATACGAAACTTGTATAATTGTTTTGATTAGAGGAGGTCACGTAAACGGAAGACGAGTTTGATAAACGAAAATGTAATTGTCATATTTGAAATATTCAGATTTTAATTTTTGAAAACCATGATAAAGGTAAGAGTCAGTTAGCCCAAACAAACCTTCCCTCAGCGAAATGCGAGAGAAATAGAGAGAGAATGAATTGTGGAAATCAAAAGAATTGAACGCAAGAGAATAGTGGATCAAGAACTGGACAAAAAGAAAATGAATCGAGAACGAGACCGAAAGGGGAATAAAACGAGATAGTTTCCTCTTCTAAATTTCAGTGAGAAGAATGATTTGGAAATAAAATAACATATTAATACAATTAAAATTTCTCTCGAATACCATGTAGGAACTGGAGCAAACATTTGTGGATTTTATTTCATAGGGCAAAAAGATAATTGGTCTATTATTACAAATCAATATATTTAACACCGAAATATCTAAGTTACTAAAATTCAAAAATAGCCCTAAATTTTGCAAAAGTTAAAAACTATGTATAATGGCCTCATCTTTTCGCAATAAACCTTTACAAATGAATGAAAATTCAGAGAGTTTATATTTAGTGTCGGTCTTAAGATTTCTTAGGCCTTGTTCTGTAAACGAGATGTTACTCAAATTTTTGTTGTAAAAATTTAATAAAATATAAACAAAACGTTAATCAATAAATGAAAACCATAATATTATTCAAAAATAATATCTATATAATATTATTTAAATTAAAGAGTGCCTTTAAATAAAAAATATGCAATTAAAAAAATCTATAATTTGATAGATTGAAAAAAAGAATCCAAACAAAAGAATGCAGAAAACAAATAAATGAACAATAATTCAATTAACTAGACTCTTCTGAATAGGTTATGAGAGTAGAAGATGAAAATAATTTTAGAAAAATTAAATAGTATAAACAAATAATAGAGTAAACTAAATTATAGAGGGAAAACTGATAACTTTTTAGTCTAAAGTTAAGTATGGTATAAATTAATTATAATTTATTTAGTTATTTTTTCATTTCTATTATTGGTAGATTGTACCTAATTATTCATGTTAACTTTTAATTAATTATAATTTAATTAATTCAGCATTATTGTATAGCTAGTACAAATTTAATAATGCTAATAATGAGGCATCATCAATGTTGTCTCTTTTATTCTATTTAAGAAACAGACAACAAAGTATGAGTTATGTTATATGTTTTCAAAAATGTCTAATATGAAAGCCCTCTTGTGATCTGTTCGTTCCATTAGCCTTCTTACTTAAATTTTTTAATATTATTTTTTTAGACCCATAATTAAAAACCAATTCATAAATTTTCTAATATTTTAAATTCATAATTGAAATCCAATAATCGTAATAATAATTAGTCATATATATATAATGTAGACTCGGAGGGCCCTATAATTTGAAGGCCCTATGCCAGGGGGCCAACCAACACATCGTTAGCGCCAGCCCTGTTTATATTCAAACAGAGTCATCATATCTTATGTTTTAATAAATTGTTCATAATATATGTTAATAACATATGACGGGGGAAATTTTATGGAAGAATTAAAAAAATAGTTATTCGAAATCGAGAATAGACAAATAGTTATTTGAAATAATTAAAAAAATATTTAAACTGGTGCTAAAAGTATTATTATTCATTTAATTCTTTTTCCCAGCATCCGATGCGCAGCACCCTGCAAGGAAAAAAACAACCTAATCCATCGACTCTTGTCATATGTATCCTGCTTTTTGCTTTTGGAAGACCTATGAAATCTCAATAGGGCCTCTCAATATCGTTCCCAAAAGATGAGGCTTCGTAAGTCATAACCCACTGTATGACCTGATCAAAGTTCCCCAAACTTCTACAAAAATTCAGGAAGATAAAAAAGTAATTGGTTACCATCATAGTACTAATTATGCACCGAATCTGATAAGAATTTCGAAGTAGGATGAAAATATTTAATCGAACTATTGTAATCATATATATATGTGTAGTAAAAAAAATCGTAGTCATATACATGTATTTGACAACTTAGTATCCTACACCCTCAGTAGATATAAGTGCTTGAAACTCTATTATTGTACGACCTTCAACAAATTCACTTTAAGTATATTTTCTTAAGCATTCGATCGATCTATTCCTACACCTATTACAAATAACGTATCTTCCATCTTGGTTCTTAAGGGAAACCGCTCACCAAGTATTACAAGACACGAAGTAACATGTCAAAAAAAACATCCAAATTATACATGTTCACAATACATAAGAGAGAAATGGGCATTGGTTACAAAAATAATTAAAATATAGTAATATGCAATCTATATATCATAAAGGTTATGAAATGACAATTTGCATACTCAGTATTTGAATTCAGGATCTCCATATCAGTAATCAGGTGGCCGATTCGATCACTATTCACTACCTCATTGCAAATGTGAAATGTATATATATTAGTTTAATTAGTCGGTGATTAATATTCTAACTAATTAGGTACCTAGTAAAGATGAAATGCACCAAATCTGCATCATTGCCATGTCGTCATGATTTGAGTACTGGATTATATATCCAAAGTCTAGCTAAGTTTGGTATTGAATTAGCTCTGACAGTCAATGTGGGCACCCCCTATATTATACATTTTCCCAGTATAATAAATAACAAATAAAAATTGTAAGTATATTACGTAAAGATGTGAAACGAAGAAAAAAAAAGATGTGAAAACGAAAGATATATTGGGCCATTAGTATTTCCATGCATTTGAAATAACATAGTGGGAAAGCAGCCACAGTTGTCATATTATGAAGAAATGATAAACTAACGCTTAACCAAATATGTAACCCTAGTTAATAACGGGTATGAAATAAATTAAACCAGAGTAAACCAAGAAATGACAACCCCAACTGTTGTCATTGCAGATATAACTGGAATATCCGAAGAAATTGCTGAAATTTTATAGCAGAAAGACAGAAAAGTTTAAAGAGAAAACAAAGACCAACTTGGATAGCCGCCTGCATTGCATTTGCATGCATGGTCCCAACTAAACAGCCCCAAAAGCAAAGAGATAGAGCTGCCGGAAAGAAATCCATTGGTGAAAAAAATTGTTTGGATACATCCTCCCATTTTATTATTGATTTCCTCCCGACCTCTCTTTTATTTTGTGAGTAATATTATAAACTCAGTAAGGGAAATTATTACTTGTTCTTGTTTGAATTATTTGGTCATAGTCCCTTCCTTTGATAGCACTAGCAGCCTGCCTCAGTCCTCCACCCAATTTCTAGGTTACAGATGATGTAATAAATTTGTATACTATAAAAAATATTATCGGAGCGGATCATATGAATAATCTTGTGGTCAATAACTATGCATAAATCAATTAGAATTAGCCACATCAACGTCTTTCTTTCTCCTGAAAAAGTCTTTAAATTTTTCCTCTTAATTTTTAACGGACGATGGAATTTAAATATTTTTGAACAGTTAGATCAGATTAATTGTGTTGTTCAAAATGATATCCACTTTGATATTTTTTTGAACAAAAAAAATTGAGCCATTTTTCAACAGTTTATACTATATGGTATTGACTGATATTGAAATAAGAGTATATCATATGGTATGAAAGGCGTACTATGGTGGTATGAACATACCAAGACTATATGATGGTTGAATACATGATAGTAGGAGTATACTAACTATCATTTACGATTTTCAACATTGTATACCACAAGATAGCAGATACCACCTCGTACCAGGGTGGTATTGTGTGGTATTTTTTGGTCATGTATTTTGTTCACTAAGAAATTTGTAAATCCAATAGATCATGATGAACTCATTTCTTCTGTGCAAAAATTTTAAAAAATGACTTCAAAACGAAGAAGATACCATATGGTATGGAGTTGGTAACAAGAGGCAAGAAATTGTTTTCTAAAAAAATATTGAAAATGAATCTCATTATGTAGAGCACAACGAACTCGTTCCATTTGTGGAAAAAAAAAATGAAATCCGAGTTAAAAAATAGAAGGCATGAGCATATTAAAAAAACAAGAGAAAATAAAAATGTATTTAATTCTTAACCCTTATATATGGATTTTCTGATAAAAGGATCAAGATTTAGTTACTCATGATATGCACTATATCTTGACCCCGGTAGCAGATCCAGTGAGTAACCTTGTGGTGAGTAACCTCATGCATAACACAATAAGAATCTGCCACATCAGCACCTCCTTCTCTCTCCTGGAAAAATCATTAATTTTCTTTCCTTTAATCTTTAACGGACGATTTCTCAATCGTTTTAAATTGGAATTTAATTTTTTTTGCACAGTTAGATCAGATTAATTGTGCTCTTCAAAATGATATCCACTTTGATACTTTTTGGAACAAAAAAAAACTTGTCAGTTATTACCAGTCAATACCATATGGTATTGACTGGTATTAAATAACAGCATACCATATGATATGAAAAATACCACCTCATACTAGGGTGGTATAGTATGGTATGGAGTTGGTAACAAGAGGTATGGAATTTTTCCCCCCATAAAATTTTGAAATCCAATAGATCATGATTAAATGGTTCATTTTGTGCAAAAATTTCCGAAAATGACTAAACAACAAAGGAGATACCATATGGTATGGAGTTGGTAACGAGAGAGATGGAAAATTTTTTCTCAAAAAATATTGAAAATGTATATCATTTTGTAGAGCACAACGAACTCGTTCCATCTTTGCAAAAAAAATTGAAATCCGAGTTAGAATGAAGAAAATATTATCCAATTAAGAAAACTAGGGAAAATAATTTTCTTTAATTCTCCACCCTTATATCTGCAGGCACTTAAAAGAAAGGTCCAAATTTGATTACTCATGGTTACTCACCCTAAAGTTCCCCTAACGAAAAGGAGCAAAATATAAAATAGAAAGCTCACCATGTATTTCAATGTTTTCGTCGAAAGTATAATAAAACTATGATATTATCTAATCGGTTCAATGGTTACCACTGGTGGCATGTTAATGTAGGCATACAGTTTAGGCCGGTGACAACCGTTTTCAAGTGATGATATCCTCTACAAGAGAAGCGCATATAATTTTGTTTATCAGAGGTGGTACAATTCTTATTACTATGATAAAATATATATTATCACTATGTTATAAACCATATCACTCTTGATAAAACAAGAATTATGAATGATTATGTAAATACATGTTAGGGAGACAATCTTTTCCACTAAATTAAATAATATATTAATATGTACGTGTTCATGCTTAGTTTTGTAAAATTAGAGATACATTGTGCAAAGTAACAAACTAGATCGTATCTTGAATTTTGATCTTAAACCCAACCATCTCTAAGAAGAATAGTAGAAAAAATGCCAATATCACAGACAAACGTAGATCAAACAATATAATATTTATGTGGAGTTTAGTCTCTATAGAATTTATATTTGTGAAAGTATATATATATATTACCAAAAATAGTGTAGGCCGGGTAGTCGGGTACATTTTCGATCTTGACTTTAAAGGCAGAGGATGCAGATCGTGAGAGATTTGAAATAAAGCTTATGCAATTTTCATTTTCTATGAATGGTAATTACTCGATGGGTGAACTGCCTGCGGCCAATTTTTGATTATCTATATAAAGGGAGCAAAGAAGCCACTCGAGAAAGGCATCCAACAGTCACCCGCTCTAGCTGTGAAGTTGGGAAAACAAACAACCCAAAAATGGCTTCTCTCATTGCCACTCTTTTAGTGGCAATATTTTCCTTTAGCTTCCTGCCCTCTGAGATCACAGCTACCTACGGTAACTCCTCTCCACCACCAAAGAAATACCCTCCGCCGCCGCCACACGATCCATACAAGTACAAGTCCCCACCGCCACCTCCTCCACCTGTCCATAAGTCTCCACCACCACCCCACAAGAAGCCTTACAAATACAAGTCCCCACCACCGCCGCCTCCGGTTTACAAGTCTCCTCCACCACCATCTCCCAAGAAGCCTTACAAGCACAAGTCTCCACCTCCAACACCACCGGTTTACACGTCGCCAGCCCCGCCGCCCCATAAGCCATACAAGTACAAGTCGCCGCCGCCACAACCTCCGGTTTACAATTCACCACCACGGCCGCCCCATAAGCCATACAAGTACAAGTCTCCACCGCCACCACCGGCACACAAGTCTCCACCACCACCACCACCGATTTACAAGTCTCCTCCACCGCCACCACCGGCGCACAAGTCTCCACCACCACCGCCGCCGTCGGTGCACAAGCCATCTCCTCCTCCTCATTACAAATATGCCTCCCCGCCTCCCCCATACCACATTTAGGTTATCTGCTGGCCACTACCCATCTCTAGCACTAATGTGTCTCTTATAGCTCCAAGGTAATCATAATAACGTATGCACGATCAAGTTCGGTATTAATATTCTTCCCGTAGTGATATATATAATAATCATCTTTGATATTAACCAACGGGTCCAAAGCATATGTAAATTAAACAACTCGCAGTCAAGGTGTTATGTTAGAGATAAATCAAACAAATAGCAAAACAGTACTAATATCATTAATTATCGCATATTGATTCAATGTGGTGTTTGCAGGCCGGGAAAGAATGAAGAAAGCGAGTTTCCGCGTTACGAGAGACTCGAGTATTGTCAATATAGGACGTGTACGTCTTTTCTTTTTAGCAGAGAAAGGAATTAAATAAAAAAGGAGAGAGAACAGTGTGGGGGAAACAAAACAAAACAAAAGACAGAGACTAGTTTGTTTCGACATTAATTATATAGTCAATATATGTATGCTTATGCTCGCCAGATGGGTAGAGAAAAAAACCAGTACCAGGTTGCTGTTATGAAATGTTGTGTTTGATGATTGATATACTATTTCCAAATGATCATCCGTACGTAAACCGTTTGCATTGTCGATTTAGGTAGTTTGATAAGTACCACTATGTCTGGGACTACTTCTGATCATTCTGGACTACTGGTTAATACAAATTCTGAGCAAAAAATCCTTCCTAAACCTTTTAAATTTTTCGCATTTTGGAGCTCTCGTCCCAAGTTTAAGGAGGTGGTGCAGGAAGTCTGGAGTGCTCAAGTTTCTGGATATCCTTTTTATAAAGTCTGTCAGAAGCTACGATTACTTAAAAGGAAGCTCAAAGAAATTAAACAAGAATTTTTTTCTGAGATCTCGTTGAGAGCTAGAGAGGCTGAGCAAAGGTTAAGTATGGTTCAGAAAAGTGCAATGTCTAATCCCTCCAGTGAAGTGTTTGAGAAGGAAGCTCAGTGTGCCCAAGAATGCAGGGAGTTGCAGCTAGCCAAGGAAATGTTTTATAAGCAGAAGGCAAGAATTCAGGCGATTAGTGAATGTGATTTGAACACCAAGTATTTTCACCAATCTCTAAAAGTTAGGCAACATAGAAACACAAATCCAACTGTTGAGAAAAGAAGGTGGTACTAAAATAAGTGATATTGAGCAAATTGGAAAAGAAGCAGTGGCATTCTATAAGGTTCTATTAGGGAAGAAGATGAAGATGTGTTGGATACTCCTATTTATGAGTTGCAGTCTCTTCTCTATCATAAAATTCAGGGGTCATATGCTGATCATTTGTGTAAAGAAGTCACCAGAGAGGATGTAGTTGCTGCAATGATGATTATGGGTTTGAATAAGGCCCCAATACGAGATGGTTTCTCAGTTGATTTTCACAAAGCTGCTTGGGGGACTGTAGGTGATGAAGTTACAGCTGTTGTACTATCATTCTTTGCCATTGGACATATGCCTAAAGAGCTCTACTCTACTTTCTTTAATTCCCAAAGTCTTAAATGCATACCAGATGAAGCTCTTCCGGCCTATTTCATGTTGCAATGTGCTCTATAAATGCGTAGCAAAAATCCTAGCTAACAGGTTAGCCAGTGTGCTGCCTAGTCTCATTAGTAAAAATCAATCAGCTTTTGTCCATGGAAGGAGCATCGGTGATAACATTTTGTTAGTAGGGGGTGGGAATTCGGTTGCAGTTTTGCAGTTATACCGCTAATCGCACCGAAACCGCGCGATTAGTGATTAACCTCAAATCTAATAATAGGATATTTTGCGGTCACGGTTAGCAATATTGCATGTTTTGCGGTTTGCGGGTTAACAACAACGGCAACTGAACAACATGTAATCACATTTTAATCGATTACTAACGCGGTTACCTACGGTTAATTGTGACACAATCATAGACCAAAATATCCTTACACCATAAGGATAGTTAGTAACACGGTTAACCGTGATTAACCGTTAACCGCACTTGCGGTTAGTGATTAACCGCAAACCGTTTGCGGTGCGGTCGCAATTGGCGTAAATGGTCACATTTTGGTTGCGGTTAACCGCAAATTTTGGTACAGTTAACCGCAACCACACCAATTCCCAACCCTATTTCTTAGCAACTGAACTTGTCAATGTTTATAAGATAAAGAACATGTCACAGAGATGTATAGTGAAGGTTGATATTGTGAAAGCTTCTGATTCTGTGGATCGGTCTTTTTTGCTTAAGGTTTTTGAGCAATGGGTTTACCTAGCAAGTTTGTTAAGTGGATTGAAGCCTGCGTCACTAATATGTTGAGTGTTTCCATAAATGTTGGTGTATGTGGATATTTTCCATCTAAAAAGGGTATTCGTTAGGGAGACCCTTTGTCCCCTTTCTTGTTTATAGTGGCTATGGAGGTGTTAACTAGTCTGTTGCGAAGAGAATCATAAGCCAATAGATTTCCTTTCTATCCTAGGTGTAAGCAGCTAGGGATTAATCACCTTATCGCTGTTGATAACCTATTGATTTTCTCCAGCAGATATAAATAAGCTATAAGAAAGGTGTGTGATGTGATGAATCAATTTTATCTTTTAACCTAACTAAAATTCAACCCTGGAAAGAGTCAGATTTTTTGTGTTGGTATTTCACAGGAGTAGTAGGAGTATTTGGCAGGATTGGTAGGATTCCAAAATGATAAACTCCCTGTAAAATACCTAGGTGTTTCTCTGCTAGCTGGAAAGTTGAGTAACCATGATTGTCAGGTCTTAATTGACAAAGTCACTAGAAGAATTGATGGTTGGAAAGCAAGGATGCTCAGTTATGCTGGGAAAGTTCAGCTCAATAACTCTATGCTGAGTAGTTTGATGCAGTATTGGATGAATTTATTCATTCTTCCCATGACAGTCATTAAAGAGATTGAAATGAAATGCAACAGGTTCTTGTGGGGGATTGGGGAAGGTTCCACCAGAACTCGTGCTTTAATGGCTTGGGACAGATTGACTTTTCCTAAAGAAGAAGGTGGTTTGGGAATCAAGTGTTAGAGAGCTTGGAATATTGCTTGTATAACAAGACATATATGGAAAATTTTAAGGAAGGGTGGTTCCTAGTGGGTAGCCTGGCAATACAAAAATAAGATCAAAGAGGTTACTTTCTGGGAATTGACTGCAAATGATAGTTGCACTTCTGTTTGGAAAAAAATTGAAAGCAAGAAACAAAGTTCACATTTATATCACATGCTCGGTGACTCAAGTGTTATGGATGGATAAAAAGCTGGAGAAATACTCAGTCAAACTAGTTTGGTCCACTATCAGAGAGAAGCAAGTTACAGTTCCATGGTGTTCTCTTACCTGGTCTGCTTATATGATCCCATGTCACAGCTTTCTTAGCTGGTTAGGCATAAAAAATAAAATCTCGACTATGGATCGACTGAAGGAATGGGAAAAGTGGATAAGGATGAGTGCAGATTATGCAGTTTGGCTCAAGAAAACCGTGATCCCTTGTTTTTTCAGCGTTCTTTCTCGCAAGAGGTGTTTAAGGGGAGTTTGATAAGGATTGGTTGCCAATGTCCTATGTTTGTGAGGTTTGAGGACTACCTAAAATGGGCCATATTACTTTGGAACTGGACTATTAGTTGTCTTTGGAGGGAATGTTGCAGCAGAGGGCATGGAGGTAGTTGTACCAGAGGTTATTGGGAGTATTATATGCAATTGATGGAGTGGCTGGGAGCTGGAAATGACACTCTCAAACTTGATTTGTTAGGCCCTGTTCACTTCCATTTTCGTTTCCTGTTTTCTGTTTTCATGTGATAAATTTGGCAACCGAAATGAGAAAACTTGTTTACTTTTCATTTTGTTTTCTATTCGTTTCCAACTATGAAAACAGAAAGTGGCAACTTCCTGCTGTTTTTGGAAACGACAAAATGTTGTTTTCACCTATTTTCAACATATGTTTTCTCAAAAACAGGAAACAGAAATGAAAGTAAACAGGCCCTTAGCTTTTCATAATATATGTATAATTAGAGAGTGTGGAGTAGTGAAGTGTTGTGTAGTTGATCGCATCTTTGCAGGGTGTAACTAAACTTTTGCAAAACTTGGATTTTGCCTACTTTTAATAAAGTTTTTTAATTGCACATAAAAAAACAACTCGAATTGAGAATTACTATAAGGAGAATATCAAAGATAAAAATCCTATGTAATACCCTCTTTAACTTGAACTTCGAAATTTTAAAACCCCACAAACATTGTTACCAAGAGAGTAAGTGCATTATTGTAGTGATCGACCAACTTACCAACTTACATATTGCCGTGATCGACCAACCACTCAACCTGATAATTGTACTTTAACAATCATCGCTGTAGAAATCGGATTCAATAATTGTTTATAGAAATTGCTATGCATGTGCATGCGGTAGTGGCAATTTATGGATGTGGTTTGTTTTTGTTATGAGGAGGAAGTTGTTACACTAGAACATGTACGAGAAGATGAATGGAGGAAACCCTAGAACATCGCCAAAACCTGCTACATACTGATCCTTAAAGATATGATAACATATGAACAGGGGAGGAGCTACAGTCAGTCCCCCCTTTCTGAGAATTGTGAAAGTTACGTGTGAAGTACATCGGTATTCGAAATTTTTGTATAAACTAAAGAATATAGATACTAATGGTTTTTATGTACATATGGCGCATGAAAGCAAGCTATCCCACTGGTTGGAAATTTGACAATCTTCCTTTAGGTTAGGCCGTAAGGGGTTCAAACCAAGCGAAATTAGTATGTATCAATAAATACTCAATCAACTTTTATTTTATGGTTTCTGTATTCCTTTTATTTCAATATATGATTTCTTAATTCCTATAGTTTCAAATTTAAGTATTATATTCCAATAATGACTCATTCAAATTTTATTATATGATTTCTTAATTTTGTTAAGTTCAATATCATTCTAAAGTCTTTTTCAATGTATATTGTACCATGGTAAAAACTTTTAGTTCATATCTTATTTTGAGTGACTCCAACCCTTAAAAAGTGATTATAAAAATTAAAATTTTAATCGCCTTTTCACAGTAACATAATAACCCCCCCCCCCCCCCCGGTCGCCGCTACCCAACGCTAAATTATGGCTCAGCCCCGGCATATGAATCTATTTAAATTTGCATAGTCACGTAATAATATGGAAAAAATGAGGTTCGGATTGGTCATTCTACGGATGGATTTTATCGTTGCAATCCAACTTATCGAACATATACGTAGATTATACTTATATTTATATTATCCATCATGTGAATGTAGTGTTTTGAGTTGAATATTGGTATAGGTTATTAGGGCATGTCTGATTCCTTTGAGGATGTCTTCCTCAACATATTTAATTTGAGGTAGTTGCGCACATGTTTTGATTACACAAATTTTGATGGGAAACTATAGTTAGCTTGAATGAGGGCCCAAATTTCTTTTATTGCTCATTAGACGGTAGAAATAGGTCGCATTCATTTTAACCAATCCATTGTGTTGCCTTATATATCTCGAAGATAACAAAATATATAGAATGAAAGATAGGTATGGAAAAATATCACTTAGTATATTGTTACCAATGGAGCTCTTGTCATTCCCACGTCTCCGAACAAGTAGGAGCGTGCGATGCACAATCATATCAACCCATCCATACCTATCTTCCATTCTGGTTCATGATAAGAAGTAAGTAAATTAACAACATTGATTGAAATTATCTAAAACCACTCAACCAACAGTATACAAACACGCATGAAATAATCATATGCTCATCCAAGAAAGTTTCACAAACGTAACCCTAACAGAAGAATAACAATAGAAGAAACCTAACAAAAAATGAAATCATAATATAATAGGAAACCCAAGAAATCATGAAACCCATGGGACGATTCCTCATGTTTCCTATTCAATTTGTTAGAATATGGTGAGTAGCCTCCAGGTGCAACCTTACACATTTAGGCTGATGTATGATGAAAGGAATGTATGCTCAGTTTTCTTTGAATGACACATCAAGCGCTTTCTTTTATACTACTCTAGTTTGTAGTGTTGGAAGGTATTACTTGGATGATTGGAGATTGAAGAAGAAAAAATACGCTTATGTTACATAAGCAAAATCCAACGATAGTAAAGTTGCATATATGTTTCCTTTTGATATTTCAACCATTTTACTACTCCAGCCAAAAGCTAATCATTTTATTAATGCTTTCCGGTTGCAGAAAAAGTTAAATACCCTGACGGATAAACCATATAAGGATGATGTCATGTACAATAATCAGGAATCAACCTACAATTTCAATTTATATGAAGAAGACCTTGACCGCAGTGGTATTTGCTGCTTTTTAACTCTACTTGTTATTTTCACTAACTCAGTAAAAATCTCCCTTATAATTCTGTGAAATGTGTTAAATAGTTAAACATGAAGCTAAACCGAGGCCATGGAGATGCTTGTGAACGTGAGACAAACTGTCCATCAATTTCATAACAATGTTTACACTGCTTTTAATGAGATCAAGTAGCTCTTGATGGCTTTTTATTGTGACGTTCTAAACTTACAACCAAACGAGAAGAAAATTTGAGATTTTGTAAAGACCTTTCATAATGTCTGTTTTGAGCTTTTCATGACATTTAAAAACAAAGATTATAACATATGGGAAAGATTTTTTATCTTGTCTTAGTTTTCATGGGGAGGAAATTATAAGTTACCCAAGAAATTAGCAAACAAGAAGACATGCATACAGCAAAAATCAACAACATTCTTTCTCACTGCTTCCAAATCCTACCAATATCACATCATGAAGAAAGTTTTTAAAATGTTGTAAACAACACATATAGGCTATTTATTATCCTTGGAAAATAAGTTTTATAGTGGATACATATATGAATGTAAGTAAGGAGAAATTATGAATTTGTGGATACCTCATTCTGCTCTTTTTATCTTCTCTCTTTTTGCAGAGAAGGAAGCACAACAAAATCAGAAAGTTAAAAAGAAAGGATGAGCGAGAATATTATGAGTTCTCAATCGTCTAGAAGAGTTCTTTGATTTTTATGTCTTGATTTTTCATATGATCACTAAATTAATCAAAATTTATAGAGAAAAATTTATAGCGCCATTATCCTATGTCGGTGTCTCACTCTGCTGGCTTTACACAACAACGAAAAGTAAGTTTTGTATTTCCAAATTGTGGGCCCCCCTCTCTTCTATTTCTTTCTTTTTGGAAGTTATTTAGAATAAAAAATCGAACCTTGGCTCGTATGCTAACTGCTTTCCAGGAAGAAGAAAAGAGGTAAATGGTTTTGAGAAAATAACAATGACTTCCACCTTTGTGTTCATCAAATTGGAAGTAAGTTAAATTTTAGGGTTATAGGTATAATATGCTCCTCTACTTTGTCGTTATATCAAACATGCCCCTCTCTATTTTTTTACATCAAACATGCCCTTGTATTTTGGGAAAATGATGAAACATGCCCTTTTGTGAAAATTTTCATCCAAAAATCGTTAACCATGGTCGAGCCTTGGTTCGGGCGATACAAATGTCTAATAGATTACTAATCATTTCACTTTAGAATTTTTTTTGGTTATTTTGCACATCTAAATAACTCCATTAATTTCAACGTAACGAGGCCTAGAGAAATGAATCAGGAGACAAAAAATAGCAGAGGGTCATGTTTGATAAAAATGCATAGTAGAGGGCATATTATACCCATAATCCTAAATTTTATGTATTTCATCGTTCAACACTAGCTTGTTCAGTCGTTATACGTGGATGGGAAAAAGTTCAAAACTTGAATTGATTTGAGGGTTTGTTTGCATGTTTTATCTACTTAGGAACATGAATCGGGTTGGACTAGTAAGTTGCTTGATGATGTTGTTATCGATATCCATCCTCTTGACCCTCAAGGAAGCTATTGTTAACAATTCAAGCTTAACCAACGAAACAAATAAAAAAATCACACACATAAAATACATGGTGTCCCCGAGATTCGGGACTAGTCCACGGGAGAGATAGCCTCTCTGAACTAATTTCTTATTCTCTTAACTTGATGGTCGTCTATAGCATATAGTTCGCATATATCTGTTCATGCAACCCTAACTACCCATACAATGTAACCCTACAGCCACGTTCCAATCGTCTAAGGTCCAAAAGACCAAAAGAAGTCCGACATATATACATATGTACAATGTCGTGGGCCAAAACCCAACACGCTAAAAGGCTCCCCCAAATTGAAGTTGCTCTCAAAGCAAAAATTTGTTAGATGGGTACCAATGCTGACTAGACGTGAAGGCCTTAGTAGACAAATCATCCACTTGATATGCAGTTGGCAAGTAGTAGAGAATCATGATCTTATCACGAACCAAATCACGAATATAGTAAATGTGAATCTCGATGTGCTTAGTGCGATCATGTAGGACGGGGTTGATTTTAATCTAGATGGCACTCCTATTATCTACAAAGAGAGGCATCGACATCTCACCAGAAATGCCAAAATTGCCAAGCAAGTGACGAAGCCACATTCGTTCATAACCGACCTTAGACATCGAGCGATACTCCACCTCAATAGAAGACTTAGAAAACTTATCATGGTTCTTCACCACCAAGATAAGAAAGCCTTCCCGAAACGCACACACTACCACCCAGTAGTAGATTGTCGAGTGCCCATGCAACCTGTGAAATCAGAATAAGAAAAGGCTTGCAACTCCATTGTAACTGTGGGAGAAAAAATAGACCAACATCCACCGTCTGCTGAAGATAAAGAATAATATGATGAGCTGTGATAAGATGAGCATCTCGGGGATGAGCCATAAATTGGCTAACCACCTGGATAGCATTAAAGATGAGTTAAGTAAATCCAACTTCGAATAAGAGATTGATATTGAGAACCATTTGCAAGTAGTGTCCTTGCGTGTCGGTTGAGCTTAACATTAAGCTTCATAGGTGTAGAATCAGGCCGATCTATGATCAAAGTGAGTATCATGGAGCAAAGCATCAATAAACTTATGCTAACTCAAGATAATACCACTCGGATTCCGGGTCACTTTAAGTCCCATAAAGTACGACAAAGAGCTGAGCTCCTTGGTATCGAAAGTTGCATGTAAACCAGCATTTGTACATCGTGTGAACAAGGATGGGTTACTAAGGCTCTGGGAGAACCCTAATCTCGTAATCGTTTGCCGGAACTTCTCAAACCAGACCCTCGGTGCCTATTTAAGACCATATATATAATTGACAATTCAATCAACAAACTTGTTCTGATGTGCCACAAGAGTAACCAAGAGGACGCTCCATGTAAACCACATCATGTAAGTCACCATGGAGGAAGGCAATCTTGACATCCAGCTCCAGTAAAGGCCATTTCTTGATCAAGGCAACAACAATCAACGTGTGAACCGTCTGCATCTTCGCCATGGGTGCAAACGTCTTAGTATAATTGATGCCAATTCTTTAATAAAGCTCTACGCGACAACACGAGCCTTATATCTCTCGAAGCTGCCATCTGGATTGAGCTTCAAAGTGTAGACCCACTTGCTGTGAATAAAAGAAACATGAGGTGGTGGTCAATCAACGAGAGTCCACATATCATTCGCATGAAGTGCATCAATTTTGGTATCCACAGATGCATCCCAAAGTGGATTTCCTTTAGCTTGCTTGTAGCTGGTGGAACCACAATGGAATCGACATTAAAAGTGACAAAGTAACGCATATAAGTGGGTGGTTCCCAAAATGTGGACCGGGTAGCCCGACAGAGTGCATCTAGTGGAGGGGAAGGAGATGGCGAGGATGGTGGTGATGATAGAGCGGATGATGGAGCTGACAAAGACGAAGACGACAAGGGACACAATAAAGATCATCATCAGTAGCAAGGAGCTCTCTTGGATTGATACTATCAAACGACAAGGTACACAAGGAAGAAGAGAATGACTTGGAATCCAAGGAAGATTCCAACAATGGAAGGTGATCAAAGAACACCACATTATAGGACACATGAACCCTATCTAAGGAAGGATCAAAGCAAGGAAGGATCACAAGTTACTATGGAAGACGATAATCAAGGAAAAGCTTATGATTGCCAACGGGATAGGGCGGTGGATGACTCTCAAAACCCGAAGGAGCTGATCGCATCGAGGGGGGACTCCACTTCAAAAGTAATGGACGTTGTGGATGGCTTGGAGAATGGTAAGTTTATGGACACACTTGTGTCCCAAATACAAAAAGATCTGGTTCTTGCTGAAGAGGAACCTCTGCTGGTTGAGGAAGGTGATTATGACACCATTATGGAACGAGCTGTTGACCTGCTAGGTGTGGTGGGAAGATACATGTCAGAGAAGAAACCTAATTTAAAATCGTTAAAGATTGCACTGAGCAAAGCGTGGAATCTGCAAAAGAACTTCCAAATCAAAGACCTGGAAGATCAGATGTTGGCCTTCCAGTTTATAGAACGCAGTAACCGGGATAAAGTTCTGAATGGGGGTCCATGGCATCATGACAACAACTTGCTCATCTTCAAACCGGCAGACCTGTCCAACAAACAAAAGAAGGAGGATTTCTTTAACATGGGAATTTGGATGCACGTCATGTCACTCCCGAATGCACTGCGCACCACGGAGATGGCTCATAAGATAGGAGCGAGGCTTGGGAAACTAATCTGGGTGGACAATCGTCCTGAAGGAATGTGGGACGACTTTTTGCGGCTGCGAGTAGAGAAGGACATTCGAAAACCAATCAAACCAGAACTAAATCTGAACCTGAAAGGTGAAATTAAAGGTTTTGAGATACGGTATGAAAAGTTACCTCTGTTTTGCTTCAACTGTGGGTTGATTGGCCATCCAAAGACGAATTGCCAGATTGAAAGGGTGGCTGAGAGTAGTAAGTATGGAACCCATATTCGTGTGGGACCCCTACAAAACAAACCATGGCGATCGAAATTAGAGAAAGAAGAACAGGGGAAAATCTGGGTGGCACTCAGAGCTAAATTTGACCGAGAGTTGTTTAATGAGAAAAACAGGCAAGAGGAGAAGGATGTAAGATCATCATTGCTAGCTGATAAGATAGCAGAGTTGCAGAGGCAAGAAAGAGAAGCAACAATCCAACGCCCCCCCAGCAATAAGTGACTCAAAAGAGCCTTGGAAGGGATCTGCTGAAGAAATATGGACTACCAGAGAAGCTATTGCTCGGGGTGAATACACCCTGGAATTCTTACAGAAAAAGGCTGAGAAGGAAAAATTACAGAAAGAAGAGCAAGCCAGAAAAGGTGAAACCGAAAGCAAGAACCCCCCTGGGAAGGAGCTAAGTATTCCCCTAGATAATATAAAGTATGACATGGGAGTTTCGGAGAACAAATTACAGACACATCAATCACATAAGACGTGGAAAAGACAAGAGTCGGTCAACAGGAAGTCTGCAAATACTGCTGGAACGCAGTTAACTCCTCAGAAGAGAGGATCAGAGTTATCTGGTTCTCGGGAGGCTAACTCCTTGACTACTACTCAGGGTACAAGGGAGACACACGAGGGGAAGAAGCTGAAACTGGATGAGCAACTAATGTTGAAGGATGGCGAAGAGGCGGACCTTGCCGAGGAGCAAGGCCGCCCAGCTCAATGAGTCTATTGAGCTTTAACTATCGTGGGTTGGGGAAGACCACGACAGTTAGAAGACTCTCGGAGCTTCTCCGGGAGAAAGACCCCAGTCTAGTGTTCTTAATGGAAACAAAGAAAAAGGAGGGTGAATGGGAACAAGTTATGAAAGAGCTGGGTTGGAGTAATGGTAAAGGAGTGGGTTCAAGAAAGCGGGCCGGTGGACTACTGATGTTGTGGAAAGATGAGGTTAAAGTGACTGTGAAGGGACTCTCCTGGAACTATATTGATGTGGAAGTTGAAGGCCCTGCGTCTGTTGGAAAGTGGAGACTTACTGGAATATATGGGTGGCCTGACAGTGAGAACAAACGACTCACCTGGGATATAATCAGAAGACTAAGAGTACAAATGGACCTGCCCTGGCTACTGTGTGGTGATTTTAACCAAGTCCTTGGTTATGAGGAGAAAAATGGTAACAGACCCCCTGATGTACCTAGCATGGAAGCTTTTCGTGACGTATTAGATGAGTGTCAACTTGAGGATCTGGGTTACTATGGTCCTACATTCACATGGGACAATGGGAGAACAGATGAGACCTTTCTTTAGGAAAGGTTAGATAGGATGGTGGCCATATCTGGATGGAAATCTATGTTTCCCGAAGCGGCAGTTTATCACTTGACCAGAAGCATCTCAGATCATCTTCCAATCCAGATGTTTATTAAACACAAGGAGGAGAAGATGAGATGGGGATGGAATTACCGCTTTGCGGCGTACTAGCAGGCTAATGAGGAGTGCAGTGATGTCATAAAGCAAGCTTGGAACGAACTCGCTGAGGGAAGTCTGGAAAACAGATTTAAAATGTGTGAGGAGGTCCTAACGAGATGGAGTAAGGAAACCTTAGGGGACGTGAGAAGGAGGAAAAAGAAGGAAGAACATGTACTGGAAAAGCTATCTAAACTCAAGAAAACCAAGGCCATCATCTTACAGAGACGAGCAGTGTAGAAGGAGCTGAATGAGTTGGTACTACAGGAGGAAATTATTTGGAAACAAAGGTCGAGAACAGAATTGTTAAAAGAAGGGGACAAAAATTCAGGTTTCTTCCACGGGAAGGCATCCGATAGACGAAATCGGAACACAATTAAAGAAATTAAAGATGTGGAAGGGCAGATATTCTCTGGACAGCAGCAGGTCACTGAATGTATGGTTGATCATTACAAAACACTTTATACAAGAGGACCAAGAAGTACAACAACCACAGTTCTAGATGCAATGGAGGGTTAGGTGACTAACCAGATGAATATGATGAGGATGGCACCGGCAACGAAGGAGGAAGTTTGGTTTGCATTGAAGCATATGGGCCCAACAAAGGCGCCAGGATCAGATGGACTTCCAGCACTGTTTTTTCAAAAAAATTGGGCCACTGTGGGTGATCTGGTTACTGCAAAGATTACAAAAATTTTACAAGATGGTCAGATGCCGAAAGAGATGAATCACACTGTGATTGTGTCTATACCAAAGAAAAAGGACCCAGAAACACCAATGGACTACATGCCAATCATTTTGTGTCGAGTAATCTACAAGATTCTATCTGAGGTCATCACAAACAGGTTGAAAAGAATTTTGAACTCGATCATATCTGAAGAGCAAAGTGCATTCGTACCAGGCAGATTCATACATGATAATATAATGGTGGCTTTTGAATGCTTTCATGCTATGAAAAATAGAAAGAAAGGTAAGAGGATACGTGACAGCAAAGCTGGACATCGCCAAAGCATATGATAGAGTGGAATTGGGGTTTTTGGAAGCGGTGATGCTAAAACTGGGATTTGCAGAAGCTTGGGTACGCCTAATTATGCAATGTGTTACTACTGTAACCTACAGTGGCTTGTTAATGGCCATCGCTCAGAAGAAATTATCCCATCGAGAGGATTGAGACAGGAAGACCCTATGTCGCCCTATTTGTTCCTTTTTTGCGTCGAAGGACTCTCAGCTATTACAAGGAAGTTCACTCACGAGGGAAGGCTACAGGGCATCAAGGTTTGTGGAAGAGCCCCTATGGTGACTAACCTATTCTTCGCTGATGACAGCATCCATTTCTTTGAATGCAAGCGAGAAGAAGGGGAAGCATTAAGGGACATTCTGCATATATATGCTTTGGAATCTGGTCAACAAGTAAGTCTTCAGAAGTGTGAACTATCTTTCAGTGACAATGTGGAGGAGGATAGGAGGAAAGAGATGGGAGAAATACTTGAGATGCAGATTGTGGACCACCATGACAAGTACTTAGGACTTCCAACGGTTATTGGGAGGTCCAAAAAGGCGGTGTTCAGTCAATTGGTGGACAGGGTTCGTAAGAAAGTGAAAATGTGGTAGAGTAAGCTGCTGTCTAATGCTGCCAAAGAAGTTTTGATTAAATCAATTGCTCTGGCTCAAGCAATGTATGCCATGTCAGTGTTTCTGTAATACCCGGACCTTTCGGTTCAGGTTCGACCATAATACGTGAACAGTTGGTTTAACGAGTATATACGAAGAGTTGCAACCGGGGTTTAACGAGTATATATCGAATACGAGTGATGGACGATTCACCCATTTGTGCCTCCAGGCAGATGACTGATACTGGTCTTAACTGCTTCTCGTAGTGGAAGAAAGGTCAAGGTGTGCTCAATTAGACTCTACGGCAGAGAACTGATTCTATCACCACCATCGCCGCCATCGCTCCTACAAACCTTTTTATTCCCCGGACCACGAACATCCAGAGTCGTCAATGGCTCTCTTGTTGTGATCTTTCGGTTGGATATTGGTGCAGTCGCTTCGTTCACTTTGAATCAAGTGAAAAAGTGTATGAATTCGATCCTACCGACAAATGCTTCCGCGAGGTCCCTGATTATTCCTTGCCTCTCCCTATGCCACAACCAATCGTTGCAAATATCATGGGGAAAGTATATGTGCGTCATGGAGATCATTTCTGCAATGAGCATGGATGGTCGTAGAAGCCCAGCTTAGCCTTCCAGGTTTTAGAATTCAATCTTCATTCTGGATCTTACTATTGGAAGACCACGACTGTGTTGACAACTAAATCAGAGAGGTCCAAAAGGAACCCAAGGCGATCACTTGCAGAATAAGGTGAGTGTAAAGGGGGTAAATTCTACGCCTTACGTATTCTTTTAAGTTTTATGATTTTAAGTATTTTAGTGAAGTGGTTACCATTGCTTGGTTATGTTTGTGATTCATTATTTGTGTTTTTCTTGAGCTATGATTTGAGGTGAGTTTGTACTATTTGAGGTGATTTTTGTGCTAATTGTTATGATTTGAGGTGATTTTGTGCTATTTAATTTAAAGCTTTTCGTTTATAAGTTATTGTTAAAGTTAAGAAACAAGCTCTTTTTAAGAAGTAACTCACCTTCGAGAAGGTGAAGTCATTTTAAGTGTTTTTAGTCACTAGCGCCAGTCCGTTGCCTTTTGATACATTTTGAGATAGAGCAACAGTTATGCTCGTGAGACTTTTAAGATGAGCAGCATTTATGCTCTTGCGAATCGTGGTGAAGAGCCACCACGATAAGTTTAAGATGTTAGGGGGATGAATCGTTATGACTCCCCTAACTAAGTTTAAGTTTAAGGAAAGCCTGGATGGCTTCTCATACGTATGAGTTGGCAACCAAGCTAGCTAGTGAGGGATCCCCGTGTTAGTCAAGTATTTAAGTCAAGATTTGAGCTTTAAGAGAGGAGAGTAACTTCAACTCCCTCAAAGTTTAAGAGTTAAGATTTTAAGAATGGAAGTACAAACAACTTCCACTAGTCAAAGTTGAGTGTTTAAGTAAAGTACTCAAGTTTTAGAATTATTAAAACGTAAGGGCGTAGACTGACCCCAACTCACTCACCAGCTCTTAGTAAGGGAATGAGCGAGAACCAGATCGGTAGCAGCTAGCCAGAGGAGCAGTTAGAGAGCAGCGAGTCCGAGAGGAAAAGTTCGAGAGCAACCAGCTAGAGGAGGGCAGTGCAAGCGTCACAGAGGATGCCTAGTTAAGATTTTCAGTAGCAGCAACGACAAAGACTACCTAGTTATTTACATTTTATGATTATGAGTATAGACTGGAAATCAGATTGAGATTTTAAAGTTTGAGTTTAATTTGCTCACGTGTTAGGGCTTTGGTCTGAACTACAAGTGTGTGTTTTCAGTATTTTATTTATGAAAATTTTCCCCGCTGAAATTTAAGATTTGAGTATTTTATTTATCAAGGGCATTTTAGTAAAAGTAGTACCCGGCCGGGTTAGGGTGTTACAGTTTCTAATCCCTCAAGGTGTCATTGATGAAATTCAAAGCCTAATCACAGGCTTCTGGTGGGGTAAGAAACGAGAAGAAAGAAGGATTCACTGGGCTAGCTGGAACCAGCTGTGTACAGCCAAGGCAGAAGGTAGAATGGGATTTAGAGATCTACATGGATTTAACCTTGCTTTGTTGGGAAGACAATTATGGAATTTGATTGAGAGGCCAGATTCACTGATAGGACGAGTGCTAAAGGCCAAATATTACCCTGATCAAGATGTCTTATATGCTGAAGCAGTGCATAACCCGAGCCACATATGGAGGAGTCTAAGAGCTGCGCAACAGCTGGTTCGTGAGGGGGTTAGAAGGAGGGTAGGCAATGGAGAAAGCATGTCGGTGTGGTGGGATAGGTGGATTCCGGGCAGCCCCAACTTCAGAGTTCAAACTCCTATAAATGGACTAGGTATGAACGCTAAAATCCCTGCTCTTATGGACTTACCGTCCAGGTCTTGGAAGAGCAACCTTTTGCAAGCTCGCTTCTAATCTGAAGACAGAGACAAAATTCGTCAGATACCTATTCCTCGTCAGGATCAAAAGGATTCAAGGATTTGGGCCAAAGACAAATCAGGGAAATACACAGTTCAATCAGGTTATAAGGACTGGAGACGAGCTCGGGAGGAGAATTCTATTGAAAGTTACATCCCGATAAATTGGAAGCGATTATGGCAATTGCAGCTACCACCGAAAGTTAAAGTGTTTGTGTGCCGTTGGGGATCAAACATTTTGCCTACAGGAGCTAATCTGAATAGGAGAATTGTTGAGGCAAATGCAGATTGCCCTTTCTGTGGGTTGGTTGAAACTCAAGAGCACATCACCATAGATTGTGACTGGGCTCGCAGGGCCTGGAAACCTAGTCTATTCGAGGGACTATTCAAAAAAAAAAGGGGGAAGAGAAGGGATGTGAAGAATGGCTGTGTGAAATTCTTGAGAAGGCGAGCAATGAGGAAGTTGAAGGGTTCCTTATCACTATCTGGTTTCTATTGAAAGAGAGAAATAATCTACTATTCAATAACCCTATGATGGAGAAATGGGAAATAGCGGCCAGAGCAAAGTGTTACCTGGATGATCTCCAGACGCTGAACAACAAGCTGCTGCTAGCCAATCCAAGACCTAGGTCGACGCATTGGGAAAGACCACCGCCTGGAAAGTACAAGGTGAACGTCGATGCGGCGGTTCTGAAGGATGGGGGAGTGGGTTTTGGGCTTGTCATTCGGGACTGGAATGGCGAATTCCATATGGCAGCGGTGTGTCGGTGGAGGGTGTCATGGTCGGCGGAAATGGGCGAGGCGGCTGCGTTCTTATGGGCACTACAATTGGCCAAAGCGAATGAATTTGAACCAGTTTTGATGGAGTCAGATTGTAAGGTTTTGGTGGAGCGGTTGAATAGCGAGGTGGAATGGAAGACGGAGCTGGGAGTGGTGATTGACAGTATCGGGGAAGAGAGGGAAATGCAGGAGCTGATATTATGGCTCACGTGCTGTGCAGGTGGGAGGAGAATGAAGTGTGGATGGGAAGGCCTCCTGTTTTCCTTTTGTCTCAATTATTAATTGATTGTAACCCTCCCGCTTCAAGTTAATAAAGCATTTAGGCATGTTTTATAAAAAAAGAAGAAGGAGAGAATGGGTAATTTCTAAGATATGGCGATTCTTTCGTTTTACTACTCCATTTTGTTGGCACACACCGGGTCACGATTTATGAAACAACATGCCAAAGGAGCGATATAAGTTTAGAAGATCATTAGATCTAACTCACCCCCTTCATATGAGCTATTGATTCTAACCTTATTTCAAAATTGAGATTTGACCATGGCATTAAACTCAGTAGCAACAAAAATTAGATCCCATTTCAGACGGAGGAAGGTCCCCAAGGATCCTTATGAACAATGTGAAACGAATCATTGATAATAGTAACACTAGAATGGAAACGTTGTCGATAGACTTAGCTTCTACACAACCAGTACACATAAGCTTGGAGGAATTATCAATCATCTTATTATTTCAAGATAGACGAAGTTTGACCATTGATACAAGGCGACTCGAATGGGGATGGCCAAGATGAGAATGTCAAATTTTGATAAGATAGACCTGAGATACCTGAACAAGAAAAAAAACAGAACGCAAAGGAGACATGGATAAGGACTGAAAACTTGATGATTGATCCGAGAGTTCCTCCAACTGGAAAGCACAACCAAGTCTACTCTCGTCCCCGACCTGACTCTCGTCCCAGACCTGCCTCTCGTCTTTTCTTCGTGCACAATACAACCAAAAGGTGAAAACACAACCCGATAACCTTGTTCAGTGAGCGGACCAACAAAAATGAAGTTCGAAAATAATTTAGGTACAAACAAGTTAGGAAATTCCTACAATGCCTTGAAGTAAGGTAACTTGATTTTTTTTACCTGCCATAGCAGGTTTCATAGGTTACATTACGTAAAACACAACAGGTGTTACGTAATGATTACGTAACGTAAGTGTATCTTCCGTAACAGTTGTAAAATCTCATTACGGAAGCCTTACGTAATGGAGGGTTCTTTTAGGTAATGAATATTTATCTCGCGTTACGTAAAGTAATAAGCCATTACGGAAGTCTTACGTAATGCTTCTAATTTAACTATTACGTAAGAAATAACTGTCATTACAGAAGCCTTACGTAATTGAGGCTTCTTTTACGTAATGAATATTAACCTTCCGTTACGTAAAGTGTGAAGGTATTACGGAAGCCTTACGTAACGCTTCTAATTTAACTGTTACGTAAGAAATAACTGTCATTACGGAAGTCTTACATAATGGATGTGTATTTTACGTAACAGTTGTAAAATGTCATTATGGAAGCCTTACGTAATTGAGGCTTCTTTTACGTAATGAATACTAACATTGTGTTACGTAAAGTGTGAAGGTATTACGGAAGCCTTACGTAACGCTTCTGATTTAACAGTTACGTAAGAAACACCTTTCATTATGGAAGCCTTACGTAATGAATGTGTATTTTACGTAACAGTTGTAAAATGTCATTACGGAGGCCTTACGTAATTGAGGCTTCTTTTACGTAATGAATACTAACCTTCCGTTACGTAAAGTGTGAAGGTATTACGGAAGCCTTACGTAACGCTTCTGATTTAACTGTTACGTAAGAAACAACTGTCATTACGGAAGGCTTACGTAATGGATGTGTATTTTACGTAACAGTTGTAAAATGTCATTACGGAAGCCTTACGTAATTGAGGTTTCTTTTATGTAATGAATACTAACCTTGAGTTACGTAAAGTGTGAAGGTATTACGGAAGCCTTACGTAACGCTTCTAATTTAACTGTTACGTAAGAAATAACTGCCATTACGGAAGACTCGCGTAATGGATGTGTATTTTACGTAACAGTTGTAAAATGTCATTACGGAAGCCTTACATAATTGAGGCTTCTTTTACGTAATGAATACTAACCTTGCATTACGTAAAGTGTGAAGGTACTACGGAAGTCTTACGTAACACCTCTGATTTAACGAGTTATCTAAGAAACAACTATCATTACAGAAGCCTCACATAATGGATGTGTATTTTACGTAACAATTGAAAAATGTCATCACGAAAACCTTACGTAATTGAGACTTCTTTTACTTAATGAATATTAACATTGCTTTATGATGATGAGGCTTCTGAATATATGTATAAATTAACTAGTATTATAAATGCGTGCAACATAGCGTCAGCTTACGGTTATAGGCTAGCGGATGTATTGTTGTATGATTCCAAATTGGGCATGGACATGGTTCAATGACTAGCCGAAGCAGTTTTTACTCAATTTCATGTTGATATAATTTTTTCAAAGATTAGGTACTACCAGCTTTCATATTTCAGAATTCGGATACAATGAGAATGAATAATATGGTACAAATAAATAAAAATAATCAATTTTTATTTATGTTGAACTTATTATGGTAGAAATTTTCAGCTTATAGATCAAATTTTTAGAGCTACTAATAATCTTAAATCGCATTTTTCAATTTGAAACTCTTTTTCTATTTAACTCTACTAGATGGACTTATGCATTTAGATGGGAGAGTGAATAGATATTGTGTAGTTTTCACGATTGTTAATCTAATTGTCACAATCATTTGAAACTACTTGGTTTATTTATTATGGTGTGAGTTTAACTATTGAATGTTTAGGTTGATGGCTTCCATGTTGATAATGGTGAAAATGTCCCTTCAAGGGAGATCTCATAATCGTGAAAGTAGAATATGCTAATTGGTTGATCAAAATACATCTTTGAACTTCATGTGTGAGATTGAGCAGTCACATGATTTAACGCTTCTGACCGATCAGCGAGTTTGGTTTCAAGGATGATGCACCCAGTTTGGGGGCTCGGGGCTCAATGTGGCCTCTGATCCAAGGTTGTATCGCCTAATCGATCTTGAGATACAAATTCATCAATTTAGTCAACCCACCCTATCACAAATAAATTTAGGTGGTCATCATATAGTTCATGTTCTTTAGTGAAAGTTTTCCATGGAATGGTAGTATGATACCCTTGCTTGTTTGTATTTAACTTTGTTGCTATGTCCATAAATAAAATTTATTGTGGTCGACTGGAAGTTACGAGGTTTTTGCTGACCAGGGCGTAATGTGGCCCCTGATCCAGCTATGTATGACCGAATAAATTTTGTATTACGAGTTCATAAGTTTGGTTGACCCACCCTATCACAACTAAATTTAGGTGGTCATATCGTTCAAGTCTAAGTTTTTTAGTGATTTTTTTTGGTGAATTTTTTTATATAGTTTTTAATGAAAATTTTAATCGGAATGCATTGAATTGATTGTTCCTCTCTCATCATTCATAATCCTTCAGGCAAAATCAAAAACAAAAAGAATTAAATTATTTGCATTAAAAAAATTGAAAAAATGGAACAAGAAAGTTGAGGGTCGGGCTTCTCTCTCCTTTTCCCTTGCCATCTTTCTTCTTCGTCTTCCCCGTACTCCACGAACAAATTCTAGGTTTCCGACGAGATTGCGGGCAAGCTACGCCCGGCGAGATTGAAGACTGGCCTGTACCGCCGAGATTGAAGACGGCCGGCGAGTTTGAAGACTGCTCTGTACCGGCGAGATTGAAGCCGCCCGGTGAGATTGAAGACTGCTCCGTACCGGCGAGATTGAAGACTGCTCTGTAGCAGCGAGATTGAAGGTGCTCGGCGAGATTGAAGACTGTTCTGTACCGGGGAGATTGAAGACGCCCGACGAGATTGAAGTCGCCCGTGCCTCCACAAGACTCGCCCCTGCCCTGCCGCTAGTGATTGCCCTGTACCGGCAGCCTCTTTCTTCCAATTCCACCAGTGATTAGCCAACGAAATCGTAAAAATTAAATGATTCAAACTATTAATTAATAGACAGATACCTCTTCTTTTTCTATGCTTTTCCACTGTTTGTTCTTGGTCGACCGGATGGACGAAACCCAGAAACGACAGTTGAATTGAACGACGATAAACTCGAAAACCGGCGGCTTGTGAGCGACGCTCTCCTTCTTCTCCGTTTCTTTCTGCAATCAAAGCTAGCCGAACCCCACAAGCGACTCTCCTTCTTCCCGGCCGCCACTGGCAAGCAGCACACAGAGATCGGCAAACGGAACAGAGAGATGCGACGAGTCAGATTGCGATTTGCACTCAGGATTGGAAAACCTAATTTTAAAATGGAAATAATTTGGCTGCCTACACCCTAATTGGGCATCAGAAAACCCCTTCCAAACCGGCGACTCTTCCTATTAGAATTAGAATGCCGGCGAAATTTTCGGCGAGAGGTACAACCGGTACAGCCGGTTGCCCATACGCAGCCTGTTTTTATTTTAATTCCATCAATGGTTAGAATTTCATGTTTAAAATTTCGATGGCCTAGATTTGTGCAAAAAAAATTAAGTTACCTAACTTACAAAAAATACAAGTTACTGTAGGAGGTCCCAACAAGTTATTATGATCAAGGGCACGTGACACTCCATATACCAGTAACACCCGATCTTTATCAAATGGCCACCTGTATAGTAACTTCTTTAACCAACAGAACATCTTTCAAAACACAAGTATCATTAGGCATGTGGTCAAAGAACGCAGAATCGAGAAGCCATGGTTTCAGATTACCTGAGTTTTGAAGTGCGGCAAAGGTGGAGCTTAGTGTGGTAGGAACAGAACACTGAAGAGCGGCATGAACAAGGCCTTCAATGGCTTGGTGAGTGAGGGAGGAACAAGGGAGCTACTAGCAGAAGGCTGGTGCTGTTGGGTGACAACTGCCGGGTTTTAGGACCACCAAGCTGGATTCGAGTGAGCTCCAGTGGAGGAACAACGACGGTTTTGAAGCTAAGGACAATCCAAGAGGATGTGGCATGGCTTTTTGCAATAGAATCAAAATTCCGCTA